ACTTTTATTTAATAAAAGTAAACAATAATTCTTAAAATGTGGGGTTAGAATAACAGCAAACGCATGTTTTACAAACGCTTTTTTTTAGTTATTATTTTATTTGAGTAAATTTAAACGGTAATAATGAATAAACAAAACATCAAGGATTTTATTTTTGTGCTTACTTTTGTTCTACACGTTTTACTTTTAAAGATTTCAGTACCTAAAAACGCCAGAAATTTCACTGTTTCTCGGCCGGGAATATGGCCACCTTAACCTAAATTTATATATTTTTTTATCAGTTATAATTATTTTTAAAAATACATTGTTAACATTAGTTTTTAAATGTAATCGTCAGTCAGAGCTGAGCAAAATACTTGCAAAATGTATTTAAAATACAAATTACAAAATACCAGTGCGAAAGTACATATTTTAAAATACTTCTTTGGCAAAGTATTTTAAATACAAATTACTTAGTTTTTAAAACAGTATTTCAAGTATGTTGAATATTAAATACAGGGTGGTTCACAAACGGTGACCAAAAATGAAACCTGTTTATCTAGTACGCTTTGTTAACAAGATACAGGGTGTTACAAATGTTTTTAATTTTTCTAAATAATTTAAAAACTAGTAAGTGAAATAATTTGAAATGGGGCACAAGTATTTATGTAAACATTGTTTAAAATCTGATACCTTTTTCTAAAATTTAGATATTCCAGTGGCGGAGATGCAGGGTATCAGTGGCATATTTGTGTTTCAAATTTGTCTTCAAATTGTGTCTTTCAATTTTCTACAAATTACTACTCTCTTATGTTTTTAAGTTTAACACCCTGTATCTTCTCAGCGAAGCGTCCTACATAAAAACTTTATACGAAAGACTCCCCTTAAAATTCACAAAAGAATACGAGGATTCATTTTTGGTCACCGTTTGTGAATCACCCTGTATATTGAAAATATTCCTTAACGGTATTTAAAATATTTTTGTGAGTGAGATGCAGAATATTTTATTCACTTATAATTTTTTATCAGATTTTCTTAGAATAGCCCACTAATGATAAAAGAAATCAATATTAAATTTTGATGATTTTCTATTTATTTGACTAGTGATGATAGTCATCTAAAACGTAGTAGACAGAACAGCAATAACACAACGCACATTGCAGAATGCAGAGTAGAATGCACTAAATCCAGGTGTGCAGTGCCTGTTGTACCAGTCGCCGGTCGAAACAGGCAAAAAGTATTTGATTTTGGTAGGTATTTAGGCTATTATAAATACTTCGAGTATTTTAAATACTCAAGAGTATTTAAATTACTTTTAGAAGATTTTAAATACTTTTTTGAAATACAAAATCCAAAATACTTTGTTTAAGTATTTGAAATACAAAATATTTTTTGGGTTATAAAAGTATTTTAATACTACATACTATTTTATATTTAAAATACTATTTGGGATTTTTTTTGTCAAAATACTCCCAGCTCTGCCCTATCGTAGCTAACCTATGTCGGCAGCCACAAGATATGAACAGCCTTCGTATTGTGAGGCACTTTTCCTCGGTTCTCTCATTCCGGATGGTTCGGTGTAAATTTTTATTACTTGTAACTATTGTGTGTACACCCCCTGTAATTTAATTTTTCGGAACGGTTTTATATTCCTCGGACTGGACTCTAAACGATGACGTTAGTTAATAATTTAAATATTCGGTTTTATCCTCGGGCGCCAGTTTCCCAAAATATGACGTGGGGGAAACTCCACGTATCCCTTACCCTCGGTTTAGAGTAAAGTGCACAGGTAGCTACAGTGAAGAAAATTAATTCCAGGGGTCAATGAATTTCTTTTAGGAGAAAACGGCAGAGAGTTCGGCAGAGAGTAGTTTTCTCAGTGTAGTTTTATTTTAAATATGAAATTTAACGGGAGCTCTACAAAACGATATCAGCGTTTTTGCTGGTTCGGAATGTTATCGTTTTACCTCGACGGTGAAAGAAATAAACCTATTAAGTTTTACTAGATTTATTCACACAGGGAAAATATTAATACTTATTACAAATACATATAGTGTCAATTTTTATTCCTACCCACTACTAAACGACTGAAATTATTTACAAGTTTCTTAACAATAATTATATACAAATTCAGTGTGAAAGAGACAAAATTAAAAAGTTATGACTCTGGGTTTTTTACCATTTTACTTAT